AGGAAAATAAGAAGGATGAAAAAATGGATGAATTAATTTTCCTTCAACTCACCAAAATCAATCCCTCCAAAATTGGGAGGAAAAATTGATGAAAAGTTAATTATGTATGTTATTTGTCTATATATCCTTTGAGATATATATATATATATATATATATATATATATATATATATATATGTATATCACCTAATACTATTGACTATATCTAAGTTTTGTAATAGAAAATGTGTATATAAATAGATTATATCAAACTGTATAAATCCTAACTTATGCACTAATTTAAACAGAGTGTAGAAATAAAAAAAAATAATGCACTCGCAGGGACACAGATAAATATGAACAATAAATAAGAAAAACAAGAACTTCAATCCAAGCCTTTTGAAACACAATCTCTTTTAGATAGATTTGCTCCCTCTCAGTGCTCTAGGTTGATGAGCAATTGTTTCCCAAGATAGAACTAATTTTCCTTCTTGAAGAAACAACAATTCATTCTTCAAGATTTCAGCGAACAAAACTTGTATTTATACTTGAACCGAACCAAAAGAAGAATGCAACAATATGCAGAGAGAGAGAGACACAGAGAGAGAAGAATTCTGAAACTAGAATTCAGAATGAGATGAATTGAAATGGTAAAGGGGCAGTCTATTTATAAACCCTAGGTTGCTGTTCAGATTGCCTGAAAAGGCATAGATTGCCACTGTTCAGATTGAAGAGATACACTCCTTAATCTGAATAGGCAAGAGGTACCTCCTGGAATGAACAAGCTATCTGGAATGAATCTAGACCCTTTTTTGCACCAAGTTCAAAAATAACAGGAAGATATTTTAAAATATAGTTTAGATTTTAAATTTCGGTTGGGTTTTTAATTTCGATCTGCAATTGAATCTGATTGGTTTGACCTATGACCCGCATAGCTCCAAATAAATTATAGCTTTTGGGTCCAAGCCTGGCCAGGTCAGGTCACGGTGGGTCGTGCGTGTGTGTGATAACCAAGATAGTGTAGGCGCTTGCTCCACTCACAAAAGTGTGGTATCCTTGGGGTTCAAACCTGTGAAGCCAACTAAGAGTATATTAACTCACCAAAATGTTAGTCTTTTTTTAATGTAGGACAAGCCTTATTTTACTATATCAATCTTAGTCTATTTTATCACTTCAAAATAGGCCACTCTGAGACATAATTTTTCATTCAAATCTTAATGATTTTAGATAAATAAATATATCACGCTAATCTTCTTACGGAGGAGAGCGCGTTTAAAATTGGTCCCACAAATTATGATGTGTAGGTCCCACTTTTATTTAAGTCTCAAATAACTCAAATAAACTTATTTAAAACCATTTTTTTCCCAACAAGTTCATAACTTGTGCTGTTGCAAATGAAGTTCTCCAATCATGCAAAACTTTATCTTTTATGTCAACAGACTACAAGCGTTCTTATCTCAAAATCTATTCAATCCCGACTTTTTTATGGTGATGTATAGTCAAGTTCTCTTTTCACAATTTAAATAGGCCTGATCAATTTAACCACCTACATGTTAGTGTTAAACCCATATCCTTTATTTTTATGCCAGATTGATAAATTAAGTTAAGAGTTATCAACCCTAGTTGTATTAGTTGTGAAAGAAAGCTTATACATATTGTCATTCTTATGTTTATAGGTCCCCTCAAGAGGATCTCTATCTAATATTACAACTAGTCTATCTCATGTTATAGTTAACAAATTGAATTGTACATTTATAAAAGCATAACAATTATTTAAATTAATTCAATCTTCATCCAATAACATCTAACGGTACAATATTTTCAACAAAAAAAAAACATTATTTCCTTTGCACGACTTCCAATGTCAAATAGCCGAATACGCTCTCTAATGATAGACAACTATATTAACTCAAACCTACATTTGTCTTTTCTCTCCTTTATTTCTCTATGTTCATTCTAATAGGGTGAACTAAAAAAAATAGCGAAATTAATTTTTGTATCCTTATTTATGCAAATTAAATAGGCAATGCACAAAACTCAAGCAATAGAAAAATAAAGGGAGAATTACACTCAGACCCCATGAGATTTGTCACTTAATCACTTAGACTTCCTGACATTTGAAATATTACACTTAGACTCCCTAAAATTTGTATGCACGTAACACTTAGACTCCTACTGTAAATATATCAATTAATAAATTATACATAAACCATTTAAAGTTTATAAACATATATTATTTCGACCCTTTAAGTTTAAAATAGTATACTTAGACCAAAAATACTTCAATGAAAGATAAAATATCAAATATTTTAAATTTTATAATTAAAATTCATGTTCTATTTTATCTTTTATTGAAATAAAATCAAAAATAAAAATTTATTTTTTTCTTAAAAAATCGTAATTAATATAAAATTATATTTTCTATTGGAATTCAATTTGGTCGTTTAAATGACTAAATTAAAATACAAAATTATCCCAAGTAAAACTAAAAGATATTGTGTCGATTATAGTTTGACCCCCTATTTATTTTTTTAAATTTTATTTTAATAGATAGTATAATTATATACTAACTATGATTTTTTTTTTAAAAAAAAATTAGATTTTTATTTTTGATTTTATTTCAATAAATGACATAATAGAACATGAATTTTGAATGTAAAATTTATGCTCTATTTTGAATAACTTAGGCCCCTTATTTGATTTTTTAGTTTTATTTCAATAGATAGTATACTTGTATATTAATTATATTTTTTAAGAAAAAATTAAAATTTTATTTTTAATTTATTTTAATAAATAATACAATAGAACATTAATTTTGGTTGTAAAATTTAAAATATTTGATATTCTATCTTTGATTGGAATATTTTTGGTTTAAATATAATATTTTAAACTTAAGGGGTTTAAGTATTATATACCTACAAACTTTAAGAGGGTTTAAGTGTAATTTATTAATAGATATATATACAGCATGTGTCTAAATGTTACACACATACAAACCTCAGGGGGTCTGTGTGTGATATTTTAAATGTCAGGGGATCTGAGTGATTAAGTGACAAGTCTCAAGAAATCTAGACGTAATTCTCCCAAAAATAAAAGCAAACAAAGAAATTAAACTACAAGCAAGACACAATTTACATGGTTCTCCCAAACTCATGTTCGTCCATGAACTCTGATCTCAACATTTCACTATATCAAAATAATGGATTTACAACATTTCTCCCTAGAATAAATTTTAGAGGCTATCAAAATATCAATATTCATCACCAAAAAATAGGTATTGTGTGCACTGATTTTCGCACAATAAAAGAAAAGGATAGATCGCTCATTTGATGAACACGAGATTTACCTGAAAGATGAGCATTCCTAGGAAAGAGGGAGTGATAAAGCTCCTAAGGAATGATGATGAATTGTCTTTTCAGATGTCCACGGGATTTTGGCGTGTCGAGATGGATTTTGCTACCCAAAAAGAAAGGTTAGAGGGGCGCCAGAGTGTTTTTCAACGTATCTCCTCCGACGGTCAAGTCAGTCTTTAAGAAAGAGAGGGGTGAAAGCACCATTGTATTAGTGAGTTTGGTTTGTGCGTCCCGTTCTTTTCATATTGTGAGAGTTACTTATACCTTTCATGGAACTCATCGTTGCTGACAGGTAGGTCCCCATAGGGAGAGATCCCCATTGGCCCATCTGGGAGGCAGCAAGTGGGGCTGAACAGTCCTTTGGCAGAACGTCTCCTGTATCACGTGGGAAGTCAATCAGCATTCAATGCTCGGGCCCCCGAGCACTTAATAGTCTTCTACCAAGGCTTTATGGGCAATAAATAGGTCCCATCCTCCCGAAAGCTCATTCAATGCTCTTCTGTGATGGCTGCACGCCAGGAGGGGCATTCTTGTCCGTTCCCCAACTTTGTACTTTATGCCACGTGTACAATTTTCTTTGGTTGCTAGTCATGTCTTTTTTGCTATCCTGACTCCTTTGGGAAAGCAAGTTAATGATTTATTGTCTAACTATGACTTTGATACGCTACATTCGTCAATAATCCGTCTTGTGGCCGAGGTGATATGTCTGAAAACAAACCTTGGGATCTAATCACGCCGAGGACACGTGTCAAAGTCCCAATGCTCCGAGAGTTCATATGTCGAGGACACATGTCAGGCGCATATAGGGAGAGGATGTTGGTGCCGAGGATATGTGTCCTCCTCTAAATGTTGGAAGTGTCCTCAGTGTTGAGAACACGTGTCTTCATCAGAATATTGGAAGTGTCCTCAATGTCGAGGACATGTGTTAACTCCATGTTCTTTCTCAGAAGTGTCCCATCAACTGCCCCCAGGCCTTGATCTTCGTACGGCATGGGTGATATGGGTATCAGAAGATGAAATGGCTTAACCACTCCATTATTGTACAAATGTGTTTTGTTTGTTGGGGATTATGCCTATTGAATGTGCGTCTCCTCGCCTGCCGTATGCAATCATGGTGACTAGCTCTATATAAACAGAGCCTCGTCTGACATTCACCATTCTTGAATCCTTAACCAAAGAGACCTTTGCCAGAGTTCCATCGGAGACCTTGTCACCTTCCTGAATCATCTACCATTTTTCTTCAGAAACAGTCAAAGGAGTACCTGCATCCTCTACCTTTGGTGAGTATACTTGTCCCATTCTTCCTTTTTTTTTATCTCTTTTTGTTTTCTTTTCTTTTCTGGTAGCCATTCCCCATTCTCTTATCCATTTCGATGTTGTCCTTCGTTTCCTTGAGTCACTGGGTCCATCTTTTAATCATTTCATGCCCTATGTAGTGTCCTTTAGGATTCCCAGCCTTAGAAAAAGTCCCTCTCTGTGTCCCTTTTCCCTCCTTTAAATTTTTGAGACACCGTCGTACTGCCACCAAGGTCGAGGAGGCTGGCCCCTCTAGGCCAAGGAAGTACACTGTCAAAGGCCGCCAGCAAATCACCAACTTTAAAATCCACTATTCCATTCCTCGTAGCATTGGCGTGGACGTGTTCATCCCTAAACGTCACCACACCGACGTTGGCATCGAGGATTCCATGCCCTTCTATACCAAAGCTATCATGGAGTATGGAATCACATTCCCCCCTCCACCCACTCCTCCTTCATTTCCTATCCAATTTCGTCTCTTTCCGGGGCAGTATTGCCTCAACACATTTAGGATCATCATGGGAATGGTGGTCCTAAACGAACGCCTCGGGGTCAACCTCAGCCTCAAGGACATCCTCTTTTACTACTCCTTGCTGAGGGTAATGCCCCATCAAAACTTTTACCTAAAATCCAGAGATCCGTCCATGTACCTTGTGACACACCTCCCGGACGCAAATAAGGGGTACAAGGACAATCTGTTGGTCTTTAGCAATGACTGGGAGAGGGGGTTGGCCTTGAGTATGATGGTTTGTGGTACCCCAAGGAGTGGCGAACAACAAGTACGTTGACTTCTCCCTCTCTCTTCTCAACTTTCTTTGCCTTGATAAATTTTGTTCATGTTTTAATGTTGTTTTCCTTTTGTGCAGGAGTCTCCAACACTGAGTCTGCTCCACCACCTCGACACCTAGTCAACTTTAATGACATCATCACCGTTTGGGGGTACATCGACAATGGATTTGACTGAGTTGCTCATGTTCTCCTAGACTACACCCCGGGGTACAAGAAGTACTCGCAGACTCCCCAGCCTTTCAATCCCTCAAGGTAGTCGGAGCTCTTTAGGGAAAACTTGGAGGAAGACCCCGACAAGGCTACCGAAGCTGAGGTAGAGGCCCCTGTCAATGACGAGATAGTCGACGAGGTAGTAGAAATTAGAGAGCCTTCCAACACCATTCACGCTGAAGCAAGTACATCTGGGAGAGAGACTTGGCCAGATTTCAACGTTCTTCAAAACTTGGATGAAGAAGACGCGCTTGAAGTTGCAATGTCCCACCTTCCCCGCATCTCCCTCCACCTCATCAAAGAGAGGGTCGCTCTCGCCACTAGAAAGGGCCGAGGGTGCAGCTCCAACTCCCCTCCTCCACCAAAAGGAAGAACCCCTCATCCCATCCTCCCTCACATACCCCAGCGTCGCCGATGTCAATAGGTCATGGCTGAGGTCACCCCAAGTATCCTCAGCCCAAAGAGGAGATAAGGGCTAAACAAAGGCACGACAGCGTCAGCCATGGAAGGGGCACTCCTACCCTGCCTTCAACATTAGTGCCTCCAACAACAACAACAACAACAAATCCTCCACTAGCATCAATGCCCCCTACTACCGAGTGGCTACCCCAGGCCTGATCGTGCCAAAAGACCGATCCAAGTCTCCGATTCTGTCATTCACTCTCCTCATGTCACCTATGTCATAAGTGAGGCATTATTGTTCGGTGCTGACATGGAGGAACATCGGGGGAGGCAATCAACCATCTCTTCTGCTCCATTTTTCAAATTTCGCTAGTGATAAGGCTCTAAGTAGTTTTTTTTTTCTCTACCTTTCTTCATCGGTGTAACCCCCTCTTCTCCCTTTTTGACAATCTGTCCAGCAAGTCTTAGTTATTGCTGAACACTTCCACTCGCAACGGGAGAGGCTCCAAAAATTAGATAGGCTAAAGGTCGATCTAAAAAAAGCCCAGGGAGCTCTCGTCATAGCAAAGGAGGAGGTGGCGGCTCGGGATAAGAATTTATCCTCCTAGGTGGCCCAAATTGCTAAGCTCCTCAAGGAGGGCGAGGCGAATGCTGGCAAAATAAGTGCTGCCCTTGCCAACGTCAAGAAGAGAATAACAGAGGCCACCAAATAGCTCTCGGCGTCCGAGGCTAAGGCAATAGAGTCGGAATAAACTTGTTCTACTTTAACTCAAGAGCTGGACAAAGTTAGGGCTGAGCTGGATGCCAACAGAAAGACTAGGCAGGAGATCGTCAACCAGTGTGCTGACGACATCTTAGTAGCATTTGAGGAGACGAAAAAAGAATACTTCAAGCAAGGGTGGGATGAAGTCCTCAAGGCCACTGGTGTCCCTGCTAAGGCCCCTTTATTCCATGAGCACATATACATCCATTCCGAGGAGATGGTGTAAACTCCAATAGAGACCGCAGCTGAAGGTCCTGAAAATGCCCAAGTGTCGAGTTTGGCACCAGCTATTGAGACAGTAGCCTCGGATCTTACCAATACTATTCTTACTCCTGCTCCCATTTTTGAGCTTGCATCAGTTCCGGCACCTGCTCTTGCTCTTGTGTCTCAGGATGACACTCTGGCTGTCGACTCCTTTTATGCCAGAATCGATGAACTGTTTGGAGAAATTGGTGGCGGTATCAGTGGGGAGGTGAATGGGGCTCCTACCAAGGCCTAGACTTAGGTTTTGTTTTGTTCTTGTAATTTCTCTTTCCCTATAACTTTTGTAGTCTGAGGGACGCAAAGCCCTCTTTTTCTTTCAACGAAAGATGTCTTTCGCATATGTGCATTCTTTTTCATTTTTGCTTTGTACCTCTGAGCCAAAACATGGCAAACTTAGAGGAATTCGAGGTGCATTGACGCCGAGGACACGTGTCACTCGAGGGACGCCGCTAACGCCTCTTCGGGCAAAGGACACTTGTCACTTACAGATGTCACCAAGGTCACTGGACCCGAGGTGTTGCCTTTTTGCGACTTCAACTTTCTTGTGGAAAATTTGCCCTCGGGAGTTTTCCCCATCTTGGATGCTCCTTCCCTTGGGGATTTTTTGGGGTAAGTTTGCCTCTCATTTTTTCTAAGGCCATACCTTTGGGGCCATATCCTATCTAGAAGTCATGCTTCCTTTCTCTCTTTGGAGGCAAGATTCTCAAGACTCCACTTCCCAGGCCATGCCCCCTCCAGGAGACCATGCTCCTTTGTTTTCTTTGGAAGTAAGTCTTAAGACTCTGCCTCCAGGACCATTCCTCTTCTAGGAGGCCATGCTCCTATATCTTTTTGGAGGCAAGTGTCCTAAGACTCTGCCTCTGGGGGCCATGTCCCTTGCAGGAGGCCATGCTCCTTTATTTTCTTTGGGGGCAAGATTCCTAAGACTCTGTCACCTGGGCCAAGCCCCTTCTAGGAGGCCATGCTCTTGTATCTCTTTGGAGGCAAGAATCCATCTCCAGGGCCATGCCCCTTGCAAGAGGCCATGCTCCTGTATTCCGTTGGAGGCAAGAGTCCTAAGACTCCTCTTTCGGAGCCATGCCCCTTCCGAGACTATACACTTGCCACAAGATGAGCTTTTATTGCTAAAAAATAATACTTCTTCAAGTTCATTACATTACAAGGTCGAATTACTACACTTCCTTCCATGTCTTTTAACTTGTATGCCCCAGATCCTCCTACTAATGTGACTCTATACGGTCCTTCCTAATTAAGTCCCATCTTTCCATCAACCGGGTCTTGGGTGTTTCTAACTACTTTTCTAAGCACCAGATCTCCCACTTGGAATCCTCGAGGCTTGGCCCTTTTGTCGTAGAGCCTGGATGCCCCTTCTTGATACTTTGTCAGTCTCAAAATAGCTATCTCTCTTCTTTCCTCTACGAGATCCATGTCCTGAGTTGATGATCATTGTCTCAAGTGTCAAAGGCCTGCGTCTTTATGGTCGGGTGGCCTACTTCAAGCAAAATTACTACCTCTAATCCGTTTGCGAGGGCATAAGGTGTTTCGCCCATTAAGGTTCTTAGAGTAGTCCTATAGGCCTACAGAACGTTCAAGAGCTCATCCACCCATTTCTCTTCAGCTTTCTCTAGCCTCTTCTTGATTCTGTTAACGATGGTCTTATTTGAAGATTCTGTCTTTCCGTTGGCCTGTGGATACAAGGGTGTTAAGTAGTAGTTCTAGATTCTAAGATGCTCACAGAAGGACTTGAAGGGTCTGCTGTTAAATTGGGTCCCATTGTCTAAAACAAGTGTGTGGAGGACTTCAAATCTTGTCACTATGTTCCTCTACACAAACTTTTTGGTGTCCACGTCCTTGATATGATTAACGAACTTTGTGAAATAATTAATCCCTACTATCAAGAACTTCTTATCTCTAGGAGCCCTTGGGAGGGGTCCAACCAAGTCGAGTCCCTATTGGCCAAATGGCCAAGGACTAGTTATCGAGTGCAGGTCTCTTGTTGGCTATCTGATGGAGTGAGCGAACCTTTGACACTGATCACACTTTCGAATATAAGCTTGCGCATCCCTTTGCATCTGTGGCCTCCAATATCTCTATGACATAATGTGGTGGGCCATTGACAGCCCATCCAAATGCCCTCCACATATTCTTTCCTGCACTTCATACAAGAGGGGATCCACTTATCCTCACTGACACAAAGTAGATAAGGTTCGGAGAACAATTTTTGATAAAACTTCTAATCCATGGAGGCCTAGAACCTTGGGGCCCTTAGCTTTTTCTTTCTAGCTTCCCTTGGGCATTCAGGGAGTTCCCCAAAGATAAGGAATTTGAGTATCAGATCAATCCAGCTAGCTGACTCCTCCCCCTTCTAGATAGCCACTACCTCAAGGACATCGTCTATGCTGGAGTTATGAATGAACTCCACCGTGATCCTTCGTGTCATGTCAAAGTCCAGTGTCGAGGCCAAACAAGCCAAGTTGTCGGTGTGGGAGTTCGTATCTTGAGGGACTTGCTTGATTTCCACCTTCTCGAAGCTGTAGAGCAAGGTCACAGCTTCGTGGTGGTAGGCCTTCATTCTTGGATCCCTCACTTTGAATTCTCTATTGATCTAGTTGACCACTAGTAAGGAATCACAATGGACTGTTAACTCCGTGACCCTTGCTGTGTTGGCCAGTTTGAGCCCGAAGATAAGAGTTTCATACTCTGCTTCGTTGTTGGTTGTCTTGAAACCCAATCGCACGGCTTGCTTCATGACAAGTCCCTCTGGGGAGACTAGTAGTACCCTGATTCTGGAATCCTTACTGTTGGAGGATCTATCTACGTAGAGGCTCTAGGAGTGTCCTTGGCTCTTACCAAACTGTGCGCACTGATTTTCACATAATATAAATAAAAATTCTTTCTCAAAAGCGTCCTATCAAATATAAATAAAAATAACAAGACTATATCTCACCCGATAAATCTTGCAAAATAACAATTCAAGAAAACTTTTGATAAAATAAATTCATCCATGGGTGTGTTATGTAATTAAATAAAAATAAAAATAAAAATAATTTGTTTTGTAAAAAATAAAAATTTCATGATTAATTCTCGACTTTTTGGGATGGAATTATTGCTATTATTTATATATCAAAGATCAATTACATTTGGAAGTGTATATTACTTGATTATTTGATTTGAAAAGTGGTAAATGTTAACAAACCCAATCAGGCCAATCGAACCAAACCCACTAGTATAACACGCCACTACTTGTCGCCAGCCATGACCTTAGAGTCAATGACCTTATCCTGATGGATGTAACTTAATCACGAAGGAAGAAAAACATAAACCAATAAAAATTCGTCAACCAAAACGAAAAGACAAATAAAAAGTAGTCAGCATATAATATAACCGGTCATAACTCGTGCAACACGATAAAATATAAAATTTAAATGTCTAAAAAATTAATCTCATTATATTAAATTTTTTTAAAATATATTAACTATATATTAATTAAATATTAAATAATTAAATATATAATAAAAATGTGTGGTGTGATATTTTTAAAGAAAAAATATATAAATAATTAAATATGTGATAGAAATAAGTGATGTGATTTAACGCTTGAGTCTGACAAAGGGATGATAGATGAGATAAGTGATTTGTAATGATTTTAAAGAAAAAATATTATTAGGATAACATTTAAATACATTTCTATTTTAGTATATAAATTATGGTCTTTGATTATAGGAATAAGAACCCATTGGAAACTTCTCTCGACTCTTATGAACTTGATATCTGTATTTAAATGGTAAGAAGGGTTTTCAGGAACTTAGCTTTGAGCTATGGCTACCACTGCTCAGAGCTATGGCGCACACCTACTGGTCTTCCCTTTCCCTTCATCAGGGCATATCATCCCCGTACTTGACCTCACCCGACTGTTATTCGCTCGTGGCTTACACATCACTGTATTGGTCACACCAACTTATCTCCCATTGCTCGAACCTCTCCTCACTTCCCACCCATCCTCTTCTATCCAATCCTTAGTTCTCTCTCTTCCTAAACCCTCCATTTCCTCACAATCGAATATCTTCGCTAAAATGTCCAAGTTACACGAACTCCGTGATCCCATCCTCCAGTGGTTCCAATCCCATCCTGCTCCTCCCGTGGCCATTATATCCGATTTCTTTCTTGGTTGGATCCATGACCTCGCATCTCAACTCAAGGTGCCACGTGTTGTTTTCTGGCCATCGGGTGCTTTTGCTTCGTTAGTTTTAAATTATTTGTGGCGTGATTTACCAAGGAACGATCATCCTGACGATGACAATGTTTTGATTTCTCTTCCAAAAATTCCGAATTCCCCAAAGTTTCCTTGGTGGCAATTATCTCGTCTCTATAGGGCTTGTAAGGAAGGAGACCCCGACTGTGAATTTTTCAGAAATGGAATGTTGGCCAATTTTGCTAGTTGGGCCGTTGTGTTCAACTCATTCACCAACTTGGAAGAGATTTATATAGATCATTTCAAGGAAAAAGTGATGGGTCACGATCGGGTTTGGTCTGTGGGACCCCTTATTACCTCCTGATATTGATTTGGTGGGGCCATATACACGTGGCGGGACAAGCTCGGTGCCAATTCATGATGTGATGACTTGGCTAGATCAAAAAGCTGATGAATCGATTGTGTACGTGTGCTTTTGTAGTCGTTGTGTACTAGAAGATGATCAAATGGAAGCGTTGGCGACTGCACTCGAGTGTAGTGGGGTACATTTTATATGGTGTGTGAAGACATCTGATGAAGAACTCGTGGCAAATGAGTCTGGTGGTGCCATTCTAGATGAGTTCGAAGACCGTGTGAAGGATAGAGGTTTTGTAATCCGTGGGTGGGCCCCACAATTGGAGATACTTAGGCACCGAGCTGTGGGAACGTTCTTGACTCATTGCGGGTGGAACTCGGTGTTGGAGGGACTCAACTCGGGTGTGATGATGCTGGCATGGCCAATGGGTGCTGATCAATTCTGCAATGCTATGCTATTAGTGGACCAACTTGGCGTGGCAATTCGAGTTTGTGCAGGAGGGGAAAAGGTGGTGCCAAACTCGACTGAGTTGGCTCGCTTGTTCATTGACTCAGTGAGTGGGGCTAGGCCAGAAAGAGCCATAGTAATGCAACTACAGGAAGAGGCTTCAAAAGCAGTACTAGTGAAAGGTGGAAGTTCACATAGAGAGTTGGATGAGCTAGTCAAACGACTCAGTGAGCTCCATAGTGGAAGACATTATGATTAATTATCAATTAACTAAACCCCTTGTTCTGTTCTTTGGTTAATGTTTGATTATGCTATCTGTAATTGTTTTTCATTTTCAAGCAACATTTTTGTACTTTGGTTTTTGTCTGGATAAGATCTGGTCTTACTGTAAATTTCAGATGTGATTTTGTTATTGCCTAGTTTACTTTCTCAATGCATTATAAAACTACTAGCAATGCAATAGTGATTTAATTCGATGAATTACTTAATGACCTAATTTAATTCAACTATTGAATTAATTGTGAATTTTAATGTTAAATAGAGTCTGATGGGTCAGGCCCAACTCAAAGGCGCATTCATAATTACAGACCAGGCCTAGTGTAAAAATATAGACTAGACTCGTAATCGCAAACTAGGCCCACTCAAACATACAAACCAAGCCCACCACAAGATGGAGAAAATTAGGTCAGATCAGTCGCTTCATCATGAAAGACCCACTCTTATACCTGACATTTGAGGAAAGTTCCTTGTAACACGCACGTTACCATCTCCACGAAATTGTATCGCCTGTTACGAGAAAGGCGTCCTCTCTGTCGAACTATCTCTTTTGATATAAGAAAGTCGTCTCAACCTGTTAAGAAGCGCCTTTAAGTTGTAAGTCTCACCTACACAATGGGGGCTATCTCTCACATGTCACTCAAATTTGAACATTCTACACCCCTTGAGCAATAAAATACTCTTGTCATCCTAGCCCTTCGAAGTAGAGTAGGTCACTCTGATTGAACAACTTAAATGACCCTCGTCATTTATTACTGCATTAAATACTTAATATGTGATACATAAACACATTTTGTACATCATCAGAACCTATCATCAATCTAGTTGTAGTTCATTAGATTCCTAAATTAAATCTAAGTAGCATTTTCCTAACACTACATAAAAGCAGGGTGACCATCTGCATAAAGATCAAAACTACAGCAAAATGATTTTTCCTACAATTCTCCGATACTTCAAAGAATGACTCCACAAACTGTCAACTGTTCGGGCTCAACCTATTATGCCTGTTAATGGATCGAATTTTGATCTGAACCTTTTTCGAATTAGAATTCAATTAATCGAATATAACTAAAAAATTTAATTGACAATCTAAATCTAAATCTGTTATGTGATATTTAATATATTCGGATTTAATTTTAACAATACCCTTTCTAATTATAATCCGATCCAAATTATATATTTATATCTACATAATTTTATCAATTATATTGGAAATTAATTTTAATTTACTAAATAGAACTTAATTTGATTATTTGGATCAGATCAAATTGTTGAAACCAATGTTAACAGAACTGGATCGAACCGGCCGGTCGGACCGGTTCAATTGTGAACCGGGACCTCAGCCGGTCTGGTTCTATAGTTGGACCACTGAAGGAAGAGAACCGGCTAAAAATCGAAAATCGGCCGATTCTTGTAAAAAACTGTGAACCGGCGTGTTTTATAAAACTGGACGGTTCAATGCCAACTTAAAAAACAAATTACATAAAATTAAAATCTCAAGCTTATTGCCCTAAATCGCATAACTCCAGTCTAGAAGAAGGCACTACCTGGCCACCAAGGCTCAAGCGACCAGGCAACTACGATCACCGATCAGCGACCAGGCGACTGCGATCGATCAGCCACTGCGATCACCGACCAGCGAACTCAGGCAAGATTTTCTTGATTTGGGTTTAATCTGGAATCTTAGAGTTTCTTTGATTACCAATTTCAAATAATTTAATTCCTGAATATCTATTTCTTCCTCACCTCAGCTTGTGCCTTCTCCATTGCTCTTGGGTTTCTCGTCATTTCTGACATTGCCCATTCTATGGTTGTTGACGAAGTCTCAGTCCCCCCAATAAACATGTCCTGCACGAGAATCATTGGGATCACACCTTAGTTACTACAAAAATATGATGATAGCTTGATTTTTTTTAAACAGGAATTATATCTCAAAGGATCTCCCTCGCTAAGATTTTAAATTTGATATTGAGTTTTTTTTTTGGGCTATGTGATTTTCTTTTAAAGTCATTGTTTATTTATAGAGTGGTTTGATTATTTGGATTTTGGAGAAATAGTTCATGTTTTTTATTAAGGTTGTTTGTTAATTATTGTTCTGATAGAAATTTGATTTTGAATTACTAATTGTGTTATTGATATGTTAATAGTCCATAATTCATATTAATGATCTCTGTTTGTGATTATGTTGTTTCTGTTTGTGATTTAGCAAACCAGTAGGTCACTTGTTGGATGTAGCTTTTCAATGCTATGAAAGCACTGGTAGGTAATTTAATTAAAGGATCTTTTTAAAAGAATTGTAAAGCTATCATGCTTGAGAATTGAGAATTGTAAAGCTATCACGTCTATTAAATAGGGATTCACAAGGGAATAGTTATTGTCTATTTGTGATCTATTAAGATTGTGAATTGAGATTGTACGATTGTTAATTGAGATTGTAGGATTGTGCATTGGGATTTTTGTTGTCATTATTGATTTTATGCTTTCAGTTTGTTTGCTCTAGCAACATGTCATCTTTTGGATTTAGAATGATTTTTTTGTTATGTACTTGGATTGGATAACAAATTGTATGTATTTTAGACATATTTTATATTTTTTAGCTAAATTATTAAGTTTTATAATTATTATATATATATATATATATTTATTTATTTATTTTATTTTTTTATTTTTATTATATGGCCGGTCCGACCAGTGACCCACTAGTCAAACCAGTGAATCATTGACCCAGTCCCCTAGTCGGTTTGATGATTGGTCTGGTTTTGATAACATTGGTTGAAACTAATATTTTATTCTTAACGGATACGAATTTGGAGTATAAAAATAAAATTTGATAATTGAATTTAAATTGAAACTTTCTAATCTGATTTGGATTGACTAAAATCTGATCTGTTGACAACGGGGTTGCACCCCAACCCATCCTAAACAATAGCTATTGTATTAAGATACCATTTATATTTCTATAATATTTTTAGAAAAAAAAAATCAAAATATTGATGACGTGTTCTATGCGGCTGAGCAGAGTTGTATTTGGAGATCTTGTCGTAGATATTTGAAGGGGATTATTGGAATATCTAGTCAAAGCTTCTAGGCTCATGGGGGTTGAACAATCAAATAACAATGAATAAAGACCAGTAGATAAAAAGTTTATAGTAGTTCACCAGCTCGAGAGCTCGGATAATCCACTCTAATAGAATCTCTTGCTCCTGTGAAATTATTCTATTAATTGGGGGGGAAGTGATTTCATTGAGTGAGCATATCAAAAATTGTCCATCTACATTGTGGGAGATTTGATCCTTTTTATAGTCTTCAAAAGTTTTGTGTGATTGCCTTGCGTGATCCTCGCCGTCTTTTCGTAACCGACACTCTCTCTGCGTAATTAGCGTCAATGGTGTTTTGCTATCGCTAGCATTTTTTGGCTAAATCACTACCACAAAGTTTTCATACATTTCAATGCAATGGAAAGAACGCAAATAATTCATTCAATAGAGACTCTATTTTTAAGCTTGTCACTGATGTGTTGGGAGTTAAGAATAGTTGATTGTGACTCAGTGTGAGCACCATCAAAGAGTACTTGTTAAGATCTTACTTCACCACATGTTGTATATTAACCCAATTGCTTGATTTATGCTGATTTAGTTATATCTTTGAGTATATTTTTGGGTGCTGCAGACATGTTCTAATTAGGTTTAAATTGTTTAAGGCTTGAGTTGGAATCAAACTCAATGGGTCTGGGGCATGAATTTCTAAGACTTTGCGTCTACAAATCAGTTTTAATTCTTTATGCATTATTTTCTTTTCTCTCTCTATGTTACTGTGTTGTCATTTTTGGTTAATGAAGATAATTTAATTTGTTATGACATTGTTCTGCGGGGGGGAATTTGATATAGTTTTATTGCTAATTTCTTTTCAAGAGCTTGTCATTTAAAATTAAGGTTATTTGGGCATGCTTTTTTAGGTCATACTCTGCATTTATTTTTCATTGATTGAAGATTTGGTATATCTTTCAAACGTAGGACTACAATGGTTCTTCCTAATCTTAGTTTTAAATTATCGATCCTCAACTCAAGTATACCTTGATTAATTTCATGTCCCTAAATTTGTTACATTGTTGTTTGATTTATTGACAATGTAATGAAACGTCTAATTCTAATTATATTAAATATTAAAGACATAAAATGTCTATTATAATTGAGGTTAAATGTGACTCTTTCGAATCTTAAAATTTTCATTTTTGACTATAAACTCAAATATTATCTATTATTTTAATTTTGTGAGTTTATTTGAGATTTCTGCATTTTTTTTCACCTTTTATTTATGTGCTTGATATAGTTAATGATTTCTCCTAATTCTTTCACTTAACCTTGGTTGCTTCTTGGCTTTTATTGACTAAATGTGGTTATTGTTTGCTCATTTTCCATTTTATGTAAACAAGGTGTCAAGGGATCAAGAGGGTGACATACCACAATAGAAAACTATCAAAAGTTTTTCCAACATACGTACATTTAGAAATAGTGTAGATGTATTATGGAAAATATGTTTGTTTTTCTATAAACTTCTTGATAACTTTCACAGAATTTCAAGATCTCTAAGCCTGCAGCCTGGTTGTAGACTAATATTTTGGTCAGACTTATTAGATTAGCATAAAAAATTAAGACTTGCAATGTGTCTTGAACTCTAGACTACTATATCACTATTCTTTAAGGTCATATCCATGCATGGTTGTTCTTAAGCTCGCTACCATCTATTTACAAAAGAAGATTTTTCTCATAAATTGAAACATGTGCAACCGACACTCTGAATGCAATAAAATCTTGGTCGACATCCAAACCATGCATTTCATTGAATCCATGTTGGTATCATTGTATAAGTGGTTACCAACTTATTGCTTGCTTGATAAAATAACTTAACATATTAATACTTGCCTATTTCTTTTGGTACTTCTTTCTAAAAGTTGCATTAATAATGGCAGTTTAACAAATGTTT